TGCTGCTGCTGCTGCTGCTGCTGCTGTGCCCACCGCTGCTGCTGCGCCCACCGCTGCTGCTGCGCCCTCCGCTGCTGCGCCTCCGCCTGCTGCAGCTGCTGCTCGTGCAGGTGTTGCTCGAACAGAAACTGCTGCTCGCGCTCCTCCTCCTCCCTGGCCGTGTGCCGCAGGATACTCCTGTGCCGCTTGCCCCCGCGGGCGTGGCGGCCTCGGACCAGGGGCACGCTGTCTGCCGCCGGGTCCTCCCCCTCCTGCCCCTGCCGGGCCTCGTCGTCTCCGCCCGCGCCTCGCGGGCTGCCACTGACGCCGGCCCCGGCAGTCAGCAGCGAGGGAGGCTGCTCCTCCCCCTCGCCCTCGCCCATGCTCTTGGCCTGCAGGGCCCCGCCGGTGCTGCTGGTGCGCGGGGTGGGCTCCCCAGAGTCCTGGGGCGTTCCGGCGTCGTCGCTGAAGCCGGCGCTGGCGTCGGCCTCAGGAATGACTGATGCCGCGGGCGCCTCGGCCTCTTGCGTCGGTGAGCGTGAGGGCGATGCGTATGGACGTGTGCATGAGGCCGCTGGAATGGAGGGTTTTTGCTGCTCAACGGTTGAAAGCTGGCCGGTTTGATAACACCCATAAGGCAGCTGAGCGGCCGACTTGCGCGTCACCCGCCCGCCCCCCCTTGTCGCCCTCAGCCTGCCCAGCCGCCAACCCGCCCTGATAGCCCCTCACCTGGTCTTGGCCCGCATTCGTAGCGCCACAAGCAGAGTTTGGCTACGGCTCCTGGCCTGGAGGGCCATCGGGCGCCTCCTCCGCCTGCATCTTGGCACTCATCGTGAGGGTCTGTGGGTGACGAGAGGGGCGAGCGAGCCAACACGGAGGAGGTGCTGAGGCTAGGCCCGCCAAGGGCTGCGCAACAGGGAAGGAGGCTGCAGGCTTCACCAGCCCTTTGCTGGCAGCAGGCACAGGCGGTGAAGACGCCCGGGAATAGCAGTCTGTTGCACACGCTCTTCAGGGATCTGAAACAGGCATGCCCACCAACCTTCACCCCCGGCAAAGCAGCCCCTCACCTGCAGTGACCGCTCCCCGCTCAGCGCATGGCCCTCCTCTTCTTGCGGGCGCGTGGCGTCCATGCACGCCAGCTCCTGGCGCGGCGTCGCTGCCGTCTTGGACGGCTCCTGCAGTCATGGGCGATCAAAGGAGGCACAGCAGCAAGGGAGGGCCCCGGTGGATGGGAGAAACATGTCTAACATGTTTCTCCCATCAATGCGCGGCTGGGGCCCGGGTAACCAGCATCAAAGCTTGCACACCAGTCACAACACGGCCGGGCATGCACTGCACTGTGTCCGGGCGTGCACTGCACTGTGTCCTGGAGTGGCCACCTCCCTGGCGCCGAATCTGCACAGCCCTGCCAGATGGGCGCCCTGCTTGGTCCCTCTGCTTATAAAGGGCGGCCCATCCACCCAAGCCCCTTCCGAGCACCATGCTGAAGCAGCCCATGACATCGGCCGCCCCGGCAGCGACAGTGACGGCGCCATGGGCGGCCTTCTCCCTTTTCAGAGACTCCAGCTCGGCAGAAACCCCCTGCCACCAGCAAAGAGGGGACTCGAGTTCAGCATGGGACTGGCCCAGGGGCATGCTGGGTTCAGACACTGCGGCTGGAACCAGCGAGGATCGCTGGCCGGCACCACAAGCCCACCGCCAGCACCCTCGCACGGTCGCCCCTCGCCCAGGCAAGCTCACCTGCAGCTCGCAAGCCGCGGCCTGCTGCTTGACGGCAGCAAACGCGCCCACCACCATTGCCGCCACGATGGCCTCACGCTCCCGCCTCTCGGCGTCGACACGCCGCGCCCCGGCCTGTTGGGAAATGGAGAAGCGCCAGGGGCCATTGTGAGGCGTCGTCCGAGCACACACGGGCAAAGGCGAGCTGGTCGCAAAGCAATAAGCAAGGGCAGCACACGCACAGGTCGAGCTCCTAGGCTACAGCAGGCGGTTTGGCACCAGATCCTCGTCTACATACATGCAGCAGCCCCTCACCCCCCTCACCTGCTTCATTACCGCCTTCGCGTCTTCCACCTCCGCCCAGATGATGACCCTGGAGAAGGCGGTGGCGGTCATGGTCGCAGCCGCCAGCCTGGTGAGGCCGCCCTCCTCCTCCCTGCGCAGCTGCTCCACCTTGGCGCGCAGCTCCGCGCCAATCCTCTCGCGAGCCTGCGGGGCACATACGGTTTCCAGCGTGAGTGTGAGCAACATGAGTCATGAACTCGCGGCGAGCTCTGAAAGTGGGCGACAGTGCATGATACGTACGCTGAGGCTGCAGCGCGGCACAGGAGTGCTGGCGCCCCTGCCTGCCGGTATGCCGTGGCACAGCGCAATAAGCCATGGGCCTGCCGTCCAAGCAAGGACTGCCCACTGTGCTGTAACCCCAGCAGTACGCCCCGCAGCGCCCTGGCGTCCCGCTCCAAAGCCGCCCGGCCCTGCCCCACCTTTTTCTCAGCCTGCGCCACCTGCCGCAGCTTCCTCTGCAAAGTTGGGAACAAAGGGGCCATTTTTGGGGTGGGCGAGAGGGGCAAAATGTCAAGGGGGACGCGCGTGGCAGGGGGTGTCTGCACAGGCCGCTGGAAGGTTGCGTGGCAGCGCTGGGCCATGAGTAAAGTGGCAGCAGGCAGCACACGGAGCGACAGCTCGCGGCCGGCACCCTGCAGACGCCGGGAGGCCGCACCAACCGCTGACCTGGCAGCAGTAGGAGTTGGCACCTTCCCGCTCCTGCAGGAGCTTGCTGTGGGCGGCCTCCTCTGCCCGCAGCGCCTGGCGCTTCGCCTCAGACGCCTGCGTCAAGTTTGGGCAGTGGCGATTGATGCCAAAGAAATTGCGGTGTTGGCGACGCCAGACGCCACCGTATTTTGAGGGATGGGCCGGCTGCCCTAAAAAGCAAAGATCCTGGCTGAACCACAAACTCAAGCCATCCGGCAGGGGTGTGGGCCCAGGCCCTGCCCTGAAGCTACCACAACAGATGGCCGGCCCCCTCACCTGTTTCTCCTTGGCGACCTCCGCGCGCCACTGCGCCAGCTCCAGCTCATGCGCCGCAACCGCCCGCTGCAGCTCCTCCATGGCGCGCCCCTGCGCGGCCTGCTGCTCGGCCTTGGCGAACGCACCCGCCACCATGGCCGCCACGAGCGCCTCGCGCTCCCGCTGCTCAGCGTCGGCGTGCTGCGCCTCCGCCTGCAGGAGACGACAACGGCGCCAACGGTGGTGGTGAGCAGACGGCCGAGCACAGGCGGGCACTGCCTTCTTGGCAAGAACCAAGTGGATGCAGCCAGCAAAGGCTGCCAGCCGCCAGAACAACTTCCCACAGCAGCCCCCAAGGTCGCCCAGCGCGCTTGCGCTGCCCACGCCGCCTCGGCTTGCCCAGCGCGGTGCCCCACCTGTGCGCGCTCCACCGCCAGCTCCGCGGCAGCGCGCTCCTGCGCCTCCTCGGCCTCCTCCAGCGCCTGAGGTGTGCGGCGGCAGGAGTGAGCGGGGACGGTGAAGGGAAGCGGTCAATTGAAAGGGTCAAGCGAAAGGGGTCCCCATCAAGCGCCGTGGAGACTCACAGGCCGAGCAGCTGCAGGGATGACACCGCATGGCTGGGGCTGGGGTCGCACACCCCAAAATCAACATATAAACCGCCCCTTCGCAACACACGATCAAAGCCGCGCCCAACCTACGCTGCGCTCCATCCCTGAGTGCTGCCCAACCCACCTTCTCGCGCCTGCACGTCTGCGCCTCGCGCGTCCGCACCGCAGAGTCGCGTGCCCCCAGCTTGACGCTGCGCCGCCTGGAAGAGGCCTCGATCCACACCGCCCTGGAGCGGGCAGCGTCGGCCTCCTGCGGCCAGGCGGGGGGAGGGCTGAAGCATGTGATCCAGTTTCAGAAGAAACCCTCCAGCAACAACAGCAGCAGCGGCGGCGGCTTCATTAGTGGCTGCACACCGATCTTGCACCGCAACACTGCCCCGCGTTCTCAACCCGCCCCCTAGCTGTAGCACAGCGACTAAAAACGCGCCGCCCTCACCTTCATCGCCGCCACCGCCTGCGACCTGGCGGCGCGTGCACCCTCCAGTGCCTCCGCCTGCAGGATGTGACTGATGGCACTGTCGACCACAGCCCTGACAGCCGCGCGCTGCAGGATCTCCTCCCGCTGCTGGCAGGCCGCCTCGTCGTGCGCCTGCAGTTGGGACGGACGGAGGGGAGGGGGCGGCGGAGGGCGGCAGGGACATGAGGCGCTGGCGCGTGGAGATGCTGGTACGGCGGTGTGAATCCGGGCTGAGTATTGCGTTACAGTTTTGCACTAGCCGGAGAAAATTGTGCGTATATCTTGGCATGCTGTGAAACCCCTTGCTACCCGATGAGTGATCGAGTTCCAAAAGAAGCGGCGGCTTCATTAGTGGCTGCACACCAATCTTGCACCGCAACACTGCCCCGCGTTCTCATCCCGCCACCTAGCCGTAGCACACCAAGTGTTGACGCGAGCCCCTCACCTTCATCGCCGCCACCGCCTTCGACCTGGCGGCGCGCGCACCCTCCAGTGCCTCCGCCTGCAGGATGTGACTGATGGCGCTGTCCACCACAGCCCTGACAGCCGCGCGCTGCAGGATCTCCTCCCGCTGCTGGCAGGCCGCATCGTCGCGCGCCTGCAGGCGGGGCGGAGGGGGAGGGGCGGCGGAGGGCGGCAGGGGCGTGAGGCGCTGGCAGTGGAGATGCGTGTGCGGCTGTTTGCACAGGCGCTGGATGTTGCAGTGGGCTTCCACATGTGCTGGGTGAAGTGTGCGGAAACCTCGGCCTGCTGTAGGACCCCTTGCCACACACTCATTGTGGCCGCACCGTTTGCTGCCCCGTTTGATGTCGCTGAGTGCCGCAGCTTTGCATGGCATAGCGCTGCAGGATTGCTGTGCACTTGCTCAATAAACTTGTCACCCACATGCGTTGCGCACGTGCGCGTGTGAACGCACGCATGCACATCAATTACGCAAGCCGCGGCTTGTCGCGCGCCCCCTCATCAACGCACCTGCCGCACAGATGCCGCGTGAGCCTCAGCGGCGGCGATGGACCCGCGCGCCTCTTGGGCGCGGATGTTGCAAAAGATTGTCGTCACGACGGCCTTGACGGCGTGCTGCCGCTGATAGCACTGCTCCATGTCTTCCCATGCCACTTCCAGAGCCTGCAGCAAGGAAAGGAGCCAGCAGGGCCAGGCGGGAGAGCGGGGTGGGACAGTTGCTTATGAGGGTGAGGTTTTTCAATCGGCGCAACCTTTCACGGCGCCATCGGCTGTTTCACCGGCGACGCTGACGCCAGTGACTCACTCTGACCAAAGGACATGCAGCGCGCGAACCCCTCCTCTTGGCCACGGGGAGGGGAGGGCAGCACCAGCTGACCCCCAGTGGATCCCAGGGCACGACGTGGCCGAGCGCAACCACACTGCACCACACCCTCAACTTGTATTCACTTTCCCTGAAATCACATGCAAAAGCACACACAAGCACGCATGCACCTACGCACATGCACTTTTGCAGGCGCACAGGCACGCATGCGCGTGACGCCCCCACCTGGCCTCTGGCCTGGAGGGCCGCCTCATACGCCGCCAGCTCAGCCCTGTGTCGCGCTAGGGCCGCCGCCTCCGCCATGCGCGCCTGGGGTGGATCGGCCAGGGCCGCGGCGTTTGCAAGCGCCCATTATGGAGTTGAATCGAGTAGTCTCGAGTGTTCCAGGCAGCCCAGTCAAGTGCCAAAGTGTGCGGTCGCGCGCAATGGTGTGCTGCATATCGGGTTGCATCCTGGGCACCCGCATCTGCGTCCCTGCCACAAGGTACGCCTGCCACAACCCCCAGCGGCACGCACCTTGCAGCGCTTTGCCAGGTAGAATCCCATGAGGGTAGCTGCCGTACAGGCCAGCAGCGGCCCTGCATTGCGGGCCAGGTGGCCGCCCGCTGCGGCGAGCGGCGCCATCGGCCCTCGCCTGCTGCGGCCGCACGCACGCTCCGCAGCACTCCCCGCTACGACCGATCCCGGTCAACCTGCGACGGGCCAGGGGGCGAGGTTCCTCAGAGGACACTCACAAGCTTATTTGCAGGTCTTAAGCCCATGTCTGAGGCAAACCGTGTCGCACACGATTTCAGTTTTTTTGGTTGACAGTGAACGCGCTGCTGCGAGCCCCTGACCCACGTCCGCCTGAAGGCGGCACGCACCAGCATGCCTGTAATGTTTGATATCAGGTCGTCTAACGTTGGTAGGATCCCATTTCCAGCTCAGCGGGCCAGAGCTGCGAAGCTGGTCAAGGCTCGAGGCGACCGTCGCCGGCTGCTCGACAACAAGAACAAAAGCAACAAAAAGATACTCCAGAGTACAAACGAATGCGTGCACTAAGTGACTGGGCTCGTAGAGGACGAGTATGGCTGAACTGCGCTGTCGCTTGTCGTGAGAGCTCCTGACCTCCCTGCTCCTTTGTCCTGCGATTGCATGCAAAGATGACAACACCAATGATGGCGTGATTCATTACCTGCTGCATGCAAATCCTGGGATTGGCGGGGCACAAGTGGCACACATGAACACAGGGGCGTGCCCAGTAATGTGAAGGCCGCAGGCTGTGACCTTGCACTGCTGGTGCAGTGATACCGCTGTAGCAGCAGCGCACTGAGGTCACCATGGCGCGTCTGTCGCCGCCCAGCGCGAACGGGCTGCATACACAGCAACCGCACGCCTGCAGCACCCAGGTCGCGGTGGCCAAGGCCCCTCTTCGGCGCTCACCTTGCAAGCGGTTCCCCCTATTCGTGTCAGTGCCCCAAAAGAAAGCATCGCGCCGGCTTTCCTGTGCACCGCGAGCGCAGCGGCTTGGCGCCTGCGCTCCGCCGTGCTGCCAAACAGTCGTGAGCCCCAAAGGGTTCGCACTCCACGCTCCAGCCGCGGTCCCAAGTGGACAGAGACAGATGAGCAAGACATTCCTACTCGCAAACGCACAGTCATTTCTGAAGCAAGCGCCAGCAACGCAGCATTGCGTGCCTGCGTGCGCACCTGCGCCGCGTGGGCTGGCGCGCTGCGATCTGCACCAGGCCGATCTGCATCCGACAGACCACTCGGAGGGGCTGCTGAGGGACAATTTTTCAGTAATATAATAAAGGTCTGCATAAGGGTGTGCATAACCCCACTGAAGCCTGCTGAGCGTGCTGCCCACTGCATGGCAAGTGCCGGAACGTCTTGTGCTGCTGGGTGGCAGCGAAAATGCCTTGGTGACCAAGCATGAGGGCGATCCAGGAGGTGTAAGATCCTTTCATTTATATATACGGCGTTCCTCGACAATTGCGCTGGGCAGTCGGAAGATCGCACAGGAACGGTAGGCAGTTTAGAGTACGATCACCCGCACCTCATGCTTGTACAAGACGTGGGCTACTACAGTTGCAACCAATAATCAATGTCGTGATCGAGGCTGCCGTGGATCGCAGAGATGGCGTTCGAAGGGCAGGAGTACGCCTACGGAAGCGGCAAGCAGCGCGTCATCTTTTGGAAGAGCCTGGCTCGCTCCTTGTCACTCCCAGATGGTGGGTGGACGGGTGTGCTACTCCGCAGGGAGCCGCCGCGATGGATCTGTAGCCCATTCAGCCTCCCAATCCCCCCATCAATGCACCATGTAACGCACTGCAGGTCCCCAACTTGATCAAGACAAGGCTGCGGCGCTGGCGGCTCTCGTGCTGGACACACTGCCCGCGTATGAGAGCAGAGAGCAGCAAGCAGCGGTCGACGCGGCGGTGGACGCCGCTGCTGCCGCGCACCCGGCCTTCCTCCGCGACCTGACAGTCGCACTGCTCAAGGCTGCCGCTGCGCGCCCGCCTCCGCACGCCGCGCAGCGGCTGTTGGCATGGAGCTGTTCGCTGCTGGCGGCACTGCCGGCCGGCGCCGGCAAGAAAGCGGCGGCAAAGCTGGTGGAGGCGCAGGGCGGCTTTTTCGAGACCATAGCAGCGGCCGCTGACGAGGACTCGAATCCGGCCGCCCGCCAGGCCGCCACGCGGCACTTGCGGCGCATGCTGCGGCGCGCGCCCGCGCTCGCCACAGTGTATGAGGAGGTCGCCGCCGCGGCCGCAGCGGCCGGCGGCGCCGGCGGCGCGGGCGCGGCCGGCGCGCTGCTCGACGCCGCGAGCAGCGCCAAGGCGCACCGGCGGCGCCACCACCAGCACCAGCAAAGGGAAGAGCGGCTCGCGGCGGCAAACGGGGACGGAGGCGGCGGCGAGCGGGCCGCCCTCGAGGGCAGCGAGCAGCAAAAGGCGCGGGAGGCTGCCGGCGCGGCGGCGCGGGAGCTCGGCCTTAAGATCCTATGCGACGGCATCATCCCATCAAAGGACCGCCCCCCGCCCGGGGCGCTCGCCGCGCTCTCCCGCCTACTAGACTCGCTGAACCCCGCCGAGTGGGCCGTGCGCGCGCAGCCCGCGCTCGCGCGCGCGCTGCGGCGGACGCCCGACGCCGCGCTCTCCGTGCTGGCGCTGGCGCTGCGGCACGCGCCGCGGCTCGACCTGGGGGACCCCTCTGCGGCCGCGGGCACGGCGGAGCTGGTGGCGCTCATCCTGCAGCAGCTGCGGTTGAAGGAGGCCGTGCGGCCCGCAGCCCTGGAGGGGCTCTCGGCGATCGCGCGGGCGACCCGGCAGCCGGCCGCGCTGCAGGCAGCGGTCGCGGCGGCGCGGTCGCTGCTCGACGGCAGCGCGGAGGGGCGCATCAAGGCGGCCAGCGAGCGCGCCGCGCTCGCGCACGCGCTCGCCGCACTGGCCGCGCCGGCGGCGGCCCCTGTCCGCAGCGGCGGCGGCGCGGCGGCGGCGGAGGCAGCAGCAGTGGTGGCGCCCGCGGCCGCAGACGCGGTGGCGTTCTGTGCGGCCTTCATTAAGGAGGAGCCGACAGAGGAGGTCAAGGCGGCGCTGGCGGCCGCCCTCGCCGCGTGGCTGCCCGGCTGCGGCGCGTCGCCGCCGCCAGGCGCGGGCCAGGCGCTGGCGGGCCTGCTGGGGGACCCCAAGGAGGCGCCCCGCCGCGCCGCGCTGCGCGCGCTTTGCGCGCTCGCGGCGGCCGCGCCTGCGGCGCTCGAGGCGCTGGGCGCTGACGTGGCGGCGCCGCTGGCAAAGGTGGTCGGGGAGGGCGCGTCCAAGGCAGCGGCGCGCGGCGACGGGCTCGCCGCGCTGCATGTGGC